GTGTTTTTCTGTGCAATTACCATAAGGTTTCAGTAGGTGATTTCAATTTTGAACTAATTTTGATGATAAAATTGACGTCAAAGTAGCGCACTTATGCTAATCAGATAAGCCAAGTTCTGAGAAAATTTACTTTAACAAATTTCTGCCTTCGGAGCAGCAGCACGTGAAAAATTTTTATTGAAAAAAAAAATATCAAAGCGTCTGGCATTAGTCAACAAAATTTGGCAAATTTATATAATATAAAAAAATATAAAAGAACAAATTAAAATAAATAAAAATACATTTTATAAAGATGAGGTCATGACGGACTTGAAATCTTTGCTATTTTCTGCTAAAAAAACAAAAATTAATCAAAATAAGTAAGCAAATGTCTGTATTTATGTCAAAAAAATATAATCAAATAAAATAAACCTCTTAAGATTAGTAAAACTATTTAATAAATTAAATTAAAAAAAAAACATTTTTTTTTTGTTGTATATATTATATACATAATCTATTTTTCTATAAAAACTATAAGCAAATTTTATGACTAAGTTAACTTAAATTAAATAAACGTGTTTCATTAAGATTGTTATATATTTCTTTAGATTTTTAAATATTTTTTTGTTGAAATAATTTATTCAGAATCGATTTTACTATAGAAATGATAGACACATTTAATGAAATTGATATTTTCCATTAAACCCACCATATGCATATTTACAGGTACTGAATATTATAATTGAGGGCAATTTATTTTTTTTGCCGCAATAGGAGATCTAAGTTGTGAAATCTCTGAAGGGTCATGTTATAAAGACAGTCACAAGACGTATAGTCACATGGCTATATTACGTGACCATTGGTCATGATTAAAAGGCTGTTATTCAGAGAGTCATATAAAAACTAAAATGTTCAACATTAATTTTATTATGGTATGTTTTGTTAAGTAGAAAATGCCACTTCTTAATTTAGAGATCTTATTAGATTCTACTTTAGAGCGGTTTGCAACCTCTTTCCATATAGTAATATGCTATATTGACCTTAATATGCTCGATATTAGCCTTCAATATAAAATATAATACTTAAATATTTAAATATTTATTTAAATAAATAATATTTAATATTTAGTATATTATAATATCTACCATTATTTAAAAACACTATTACTATAGATATATGTATTTAATATTCAATATATACTATTTCTTTATTTTGCAATATCATAGTTTTGCAAAGTATCTTAATGTAGAAAAGGAAGTGCAGTAGAAATGTAGAAAAGGAATGTAGAAAAGGAAGTTCTATCAGTATATCTTTGCTATGGATACAAATATCAAATTTTATAAATTAGTAAAAATAAATTTTAAAAAAAGAATTTAAAAAAAATTGAACATTAAAAACATAGAAATTTTCATGATAGTTTGACTTGTTCATAAAAAGCTTTATTTGGGCAAATTGAATATAACTTTTTAACTTCTCATATAATATTCATATAAATCCAATTATCTCCAATATCATATAAAAAAAATTTTTTTTTAAAAACATGGCACATTAAAAACATAGAATTTTTTTATGATAGTTTGACTAATTCATAAAAACCTTTATTTTTGATAAAATGATATAACTTTCTAAATTTTC